ATTTTATTGCTTCACTTATATCGCTCTATCATTTCCTCTTTTGATGTTTTCAAGTAATATCATCTTTCATAAACCTAAAGAAAAGATTTTTTGTTTCTAACAATTACTTTTATCCATCATTTTATCTCATATCATCATATTGATCAAACTTATCGATTTTGAAATGGAAATCGCTGATTTTTTTCTTTTTTTCCGGGGAATGAATTGTTTTTAACGACTAGTATGTTTCTCGTCATTTGGCTGCTTTTCAAGATACTTGGTCAGCAGCTTCCTTCTCTCATAATTTATAATATTTTCTTTGTATTATACATTAGTTTTTCTCTTTTAATATATTTAATGTTGTTATATTTGCTAAATTTACTAATCTCCAGATAAAATATGAATGAATTTTTCCTTATGTTATAAAAAGAACTTTTTGTTTCATTTTAATATTTTTTTATTTTATTTTGTTTTATTCCTTTGGCTTATTTTGAAGTTTTTCAATAAATATCTCCTATTTTCAGTCTTGAAAATATTTATTCTTCTTCCGCAGGATACACTTTCTCTTTATATTCATTTGTTTTTTTCTTTGAATACCTTGTGTCCCAAAGGTCCTTGTCTAAAAGTTTTTTAGTATTTTTTCACTATTTGTATTTACTATATCAACCTTTTTTTTAAACGATAGGAAAATGCGTCAACGTTTTTTCTACCAAGACGATTTTTATAAATACTGCCCGAAGGTATTACTTTCCAGCGAAATACAGAAATTTAGTCTTCTCTCTATTTCAACAAAAACATCATGTAGAGTTTTTTTCAATTGATTGGATTTCTTCAGTTATTCGAGCTTTTAAATCGACCAGATCTTTAATTCTTGTTTTGTAAATATTCGTTTTGATGTGTCCCCAACAAGGAGTCCAAGAGCGATAAATCCAGTGATCATGGAGTCCATGATATAGGTTCACCTCTTCCAATCTTGTTTTTCGAAAGCAATTCGTTCGTGCTTGGACAACAAATTTCATGATCGACGGATTGGAAGAGGTGGACCTATTTCATGGGCTCCAGGATCACCAGATTTATCGCCATTGGACTTCTTGTTATGGGGACACATCAAAACGAATATTTACAAAACAAGGATTAAAGATCTGGACGATTTAAAAGCTCGAATAACTGAAGAAATCCAATCAATTGAAACAAACTCTACATGATGTTTTTGTTGAAATACAGAGAAGACTAAATTTCTGTATTTCGCTGGAAGGTAATACCTTGGAACAGTATTTATAAAAATCGTCTTGGTAGAAAAAAAGTTGACGTATTTTCCTATCGTTTAAAAAAAGAGGTTGATATAGTAAATACAAATAGTGAAAAAATACTACAAATCTTTTAGGCAAGAACTTTTGGGACACACCCTATATTTGATTATATTTTGATTTTAAAAATACATTTTCTAATAAAATACATTTCGTTTATTTTGTTCACTAACACAGCTTCACCATCTAGCGACGTTTCTTAATGTGTTTCTTCAATTGATAATATTCGGTGGTGTATATGTTTATTCATTTTTATCAATGATGACAGTATATGAGTTTTGTCATTGTACAACGACGATCTTTCCTATGTGCTATAATTTATTTTTGACGGTTCAATAATATCATACTAGGTATGTATACTGTCTTATCTGATGTATATATATGGATTTACCTTTTAATTTGAAATAGCTTTTCAGTTTTAGATATCTTGTCAACTGTTAAAAAGTATAATAGTGTGTATCGACTTCAGTATATGTTCAAGCACTCAGATAAATATCTTTTTCTCGAGAATATCAACTGTATCATTTGTTTTTAAATATACTATAAATAAAATTTTTTCGATTTAATTCTGTCTTGAAAAATTAATTTTTTTTCATAAAAAGTATTTTATCTTTTATATCTGTTGTATCTATCATCCATCGTGCTATATTCTATAAAGTTACATATGAAATCTTGCATGAAATTGATTTTAGTCAACAAAACTTTATATCCATTTGATTGTCTCACTACTAATAATATTTGACCTCATTATTTAGTACAAAAATTCTTTCACTGCAAAATGTAGCTCGAATAATCTATAGCTAGTATCCCGATATATGTACAATTGTTCGACTGTTAAAATACGCAACTCTATCTGTTACAGTTCCATATTCTACGAAACTTTCTACTATCTAGATGCGCAACTCATGGCCTGTCATATTGATAAATCATATTGTGGCTCTTCGAGTCACTCATAGTCGCCATACTGCGAATCATATTGCTAGTCAAAGACTAGATTCATATTGCTAGTCAAAGACTAGACTCATATTGCTAGTCAAAGACTAGACTCATATTGCTAGTCAAAGACTAGATTCATATATACTTACAAATCAAATAATCAATTGATACAAATACACCAAAGATGATAGAGAAAACAAGCTGCTATGAGTCTATAACAATAATAAATCAATGCATCTTATGAAAGAAAACCGATGTACTTATTCGTTCAGTAGTGCTTTTTTGTCTCGTTGGATAAGTGACTTACCACCGGAATTTTACAATTAAAGTGAATGATCCAACGTTCGAAATCTACAGTCTTATGTAGAGGAAAATTGTTGGTTTTTTCTGTCGTCTCTCTTAACTTGCAAAGCGCCTGTATCCTTTTTTTTTACTTTTTTTTTAAAGTTGTAGACAGTATAATCTAGATTCTTCTGACAGTCAAACAATATATTAGTACTTGAAAAAATGCATTTGTCCTTGGACCAGTTTCATGATAGAAATTTGTTTATATTAAAATTATGATAGAGTTATTAATGCACATTCATTTTTTCAACTACAGAACTATACTGAATAAACGATTATCACGTACTTTGGATAAGTTTCAAGGTTTTTTTGTGAGTATAGTATTGTTTTTCATTTCTGTTTATCGATAATTTTTCAAGGACTATAGATACTATGTTGGATGTATTAGTTAACGCAAAAAAATAAAGATATGAAAGTTATCATAAATTACTTGTATTCTACGTAAACGAAATTGTAATGATTGCGAAACGAAATCATTTTGAATTTTTTTCCTACATATAGTTCGATCAGTTGAAAAATTTAGTACATCATAACAATAAAGATTGAAAAATGCGTATTAATTTTGTATAAAAATTTTCAAGACAATATAATTTTAGCAAAGAAATAGTTTTTGTTTTCACACAATTCAAACAAGTTGGATAAATTATTTTCTACTGAACGAAACAATATTTTTTTATATGACCTCTTTTTTTCAATTGCACTCAATTATACTCGATTACACTGACATGCAATAAAATCAATACTATTAATATCGATCGATTATATTCTGGTTATCGATTCAGATTTTATCAGTAATTTGCATTGGATTTATGCTCTACGACGGGTGAATGTGAGTGACAGATTAAAACATAATTAACTATTGTTTGTCCTATAAACCAATTCATGGTTTTAATGCTAGAACTATATTAGACAAAAAGAAAATATTAACAAATTTTTGAAAATATTATTAAAATGGTAAAACACATCCATCTGAACAATATTGACAATATTATATGATATTTCCAACGGATTGTCTCGATTTAATTTTATAACAAAGTTTCGCTCATTGATATCCTCATTTAACATGAAATCATAAAACTGAAGTATTCATATGAGCCTATAAAAGATGACTATGATCTATTTGTCCAGTTTGTTTGTTTTTTATTTTTTTAAAGGGTTTTTACATAAGATAAAATTCACTGTTCAAAATAGTTACAATGGTTCTACCTATAAATTTAAACATCGTATATTCTAGTCTTATCAGACACCTCGATCGATTTATCTGTTTATTTTATAGTTAGAATTGACATGCTTGCGTTGAGTTAATTTACTGGATGTTAAGTCGAGGCATCGAGACATCGGTATCGATAAATCTTAAACCACGTTTCTACTCATATATGGAATCACGTAGAAACCTTGACTTTTCAGTTTTATTGCGTAGTTACATTTTGATTTTCTATATCGCAATAGTCTGTATTTCTGTGAATCACGTATATTGTGTTAATTAAAAAAAATAACCATGAGTTTGCACTCAATCATAAATATTAAATTAGATTTTCATTTGTAATCAATTGGAATCGAAAAAATTGAATAAGACTAATCCATCAATGTAAAGAGTATCGAAAAATTCAATGGTAAATCGATGTCCTTTTTTTCAAAATCCCTTCAAAATACAATATTCAATTTTTGAAAACACTTCAACTGACGACTTTTTGCTTTTAGATGGTCTATTAATACATAATATTAATAAATTGTTTGATTTTTCGCCAATGTAATTAAAAAAAAAATAAATTGTTTAGTTTTTCATCGATATAATAAAATAAGATTGATAAAGAACATAATCTTCCTTCATTATAATAAGATTTCCCTAAGATTTGAGTATGTAAACACCACATTTGTCTTTTACTCAATTCAACTGGATATTTTTTTTGTAAACTGAGTAGAATTTAGTACTTATCAAAACCATTCGCTATAATCGATGTGAATCGATTAATAGTTTACTGAGAAATCCTTTTGTAGTGTATTAATTATCTTTATGCATGTTGCCGATCTTGAAAGATATTACAATTTCAGTCACAATTAATAGCAGCAACAATTATGTTGGTGCTGTTAGAAATAACAACTATATGTGAATGAGTAACTGAATCAGATAAGTGATGAAGCAATTATGAGTGCGTTCGACTGCTCATAAAATGTGGTAACTGCTAATTAAATAATATTTTTTGCAAATAAATCAGCCGAATAAGACTATCGTCCTGTCTAAGAGAGAAATTGTTTGTTTATATTAAAAAAAACGTTTCATCATTAATCATTGAATGGAGCATTTTTTACAGGAGCAAAAAACTTGTTCTTTTTTTTCTTCCCCTTCAATGTTATAAAAGAGAATGCCATGATGTTGATTCTCTCATAAAAAAAATTGCATATCCCTACTAATTGTCTACTGTTTTATTGAAAATGACTAAAACAAACGCTATTAATCGTTTACGTCGATTTCTTTTTACCAAAATTGGTGATTCGGGATCAAAATATCAACAAACAGCCGATCGTGGTTCACAAATTTTTATGCATATTGGCGAAACAGTTACTAATAAACCGGTTGAACCACCTGTTCTGGCTGCTTTTAATACAGCTAGCAAAATAATTTCAAGTGCCGGTGATGTTATTACTGCTCCAGCAGCTTGGCTTAAGGAAATGCAAAAAAACTGGGTTATTTACTTGGTTGCTGCTGCAATTATTTTGTTATGCCTGGTTTTTTTGTACTGCGTACTTCGTTATTATTTATCACGATCTAATAACTTGGCAACAGCAAATTTAATTAAACTTGCTGCTGGAATTGATCGTAAAAATGATATTTTACAAGGGCAAGCAGTCGTATCACCAGGCAAATTCTTATCTGCTGTCCCGATTCCATCAATAGACTTAAAAATTTAAGGGACAAATTCAATGTGTTATTTTAAACAAACTAACGCTTAAGTAGATTTTTAGTTTTATAGTTAGTATCACGTTCTACATAATCACACTTATTTTTTGCTTTTTTTCGTGGTTTAAATTTTCTATAAGTTTAATCATTCTAATTAAATATTAATCCAGGTTAATTATTTTTTTTCGTATGAGTGAAATTTTGCCATCAGATTACTTATTCTTGTTGAATATTAATCTCGATCAATTTCATTTTTTTTTCGTGATTAAAACTTTTCGAAAAGTTTAATCATTTGAAATTTATATTAATCTCGCGTAATTTCTTTTCAATATTTTCGCGATCAATTTTTTTAAAAGTTTAATCATTTCAATAAACGCATGTGATTTAAAAGAAAATCATAATCATATCATAGAAGAGATAATAACCAGTTCATGGTGCAATATCACCAAATATTCCTTAATATATTTTATGTTCATATAATGTATAATAATACCTGTCTGTTATTAAATATATTGTTATATTGTTCCGAAGTTCAATGTATATAAGGTACAACAATATTTGCTCCTCGCAACAGGAAAGGAACGAAAAGAACAAAATGTATTAAATTAATAATGAGAAAAACTTTTATTGACCATAGCTTTAATAGTCTTTAAGTAGATAGAAGGAACGATGAAGAGTAATGTTTTCAATTGTTACATCTCTTATTTCAACGAAAGTTTCAGTAAAAATGATATTCAATATAATTAATGTGATACCGATGCCGCTAATCATCTATTGCAAGAATATGATCACATAAAATATATGGTAGATGATCATACATTACGTGACGTGTACATGAGATACGGCCGCTTTGGATGCTTCTGTAGAATTAAAACAACCAGAACATATGAATCATAGTAATTTATAGAAAACCATTTCTATTGTTTTTTAATGTCGTCATATAATTCCTGTTGATTGAATTAATTATTCACATATAAAATACGTTCAAATTTTGATTTCTCTGTAGCAAGATCGATAAATGATAGATCAATAATTCCATCGAAGAGATGACAACAGCTTCAAACGTATTTATTCGAAATAAGATTATTAACCATTTTTATATTGAACATATGTAGGGATTTTTGTATAAATATGGTACTCTTCAGTTGAAATTCGTCTTTGTTATCCTGTTACACTGATGCATTTCGTCTGATTAGTGTAATTTTATAAAGAGCAAAAATTTTGCTGGTAATTCAAAAGATTTTATCGATCTCTATCATGATTAATTCCAAGATACTGGAAAAATAAATTCTGTCTATTCAAAACTTCCGATCTTGAAACAAAAAAAGCGACTTGTTAAACACGATTGTTCTTGCTAATTTACGATGAATCGATTTTATTATCATAGATCACTCATATCTCGAATCCATTGTAGAGAAAGTCCTTTGCCACACTGTTTGATATTAGCTGTTGATAAGAAAGCCTTCTTTGAAAGAAGGATGGACGAATCTTGTCATAAATTTTACTTGTAACTAATGAAAAGTTTAACAAAAACATCAAAATAAAAAACACAATGCTTTCTATTTACCTTTATTTCGTATTCGATTCAATATAATACGAAAAAAAGGAAATTAAACGTAAATTATTCAAATGAAACTGTTTTAGTTTTATTGAACAAAACTAGAAAAATAATTTAATTAGTAAATTAGTGGTGAAGTTTTTTTTCTTTTACAAAAGATATTATACCAAAATATTGAAAAGATCAACCTTAAAAAACTCCAAAAAAAAAATTAAGAAAGATTGAAGAATTTTCTCTTTCAATATTGTTCAAACTTTGTCGAAAGTTTTGGATGATTCAAATATATTTGAATAACATAATATAGCAATCATCTTCAGTTAGTCACATAAAAGAATTCCTATTCCAATGGTTTCTTTTCATATACTGATAATAATTTTTTTTATTCATTTAACAGGAATATTCTATATTAGTTTTTATCAATATTTTTTAGATAGCAAATTAAAACGTTATCTTTATGTAAAATGGTTTTTGCTTGTTTTTTAGGATTAGTATCCTCCTCTTCGCACATTATCAACAAAATGTGAACTGTACACAAAATAGGATTGTTATTTGCTGAAAGAAAGGCGTATGGCAGTCAGTTAAATCCACTCTCTCTTTTTGAAGGAATCTATGTTGATAATGAAAGTCACAGGACTTATATTGCTATCCGGAGGGACGACCATATATTAAAATAAGCCGTGATACAGGGATAGATAAGGAAATGGAATGAATCAGCAGAATAAATCAAGAATTCCCGTTGTCGATAAAACGAATGATACTCTTATTGTTTGCCATGAAACAAATAGATGAGTGATGCGATCATTTCGTCAGATTAATATAAAACGATAAATTATGTATATGCTATATTTTCATAACGATAGATAAACACTTCTGACATTAGCTGTTCTGCTTGAATGCCGAATAACAATTGTGATCTTTATGTCTATGATGACATGGAAAACAGTAAAGTGAGACGATGGAAGTAGGAGAGACAAATGGAATAAATATAGCAGGTGGAAGTGGAAAAGAAAATTATCTCCATCTATTCACTCATTTTATTTATATCTTTGTCAATCAAGATCATTAAGTTTAAGTGTCGGATAATAACTGTCATCATAAAATGAAATGGATGGAAGTAGGGAGGAAAAGGAATTGTTGTTGTTAGCGCACACATTGAAGACGATAGTTTGACACAGTTGAATAATCCTGAAGGAGTGATTATTGGTTATTAAGATAATATCTATATTGCTGGCCCGTGACATAATCGAACAATGCGTTCGTCAGCAGGATTCAGAGGAGATAGTATTCTTGTTGGTGGAAATGGAGAAATAAAACAATCGAATAGTTCAGTATTACTAGCAATATATCATTTAATTGATACGGTAAACTCTATGTCATCGGTTGGCGTATTCCTCGAGTTAAAAAATTTCATATTAATGTTGACTGAAATGATCATTGAAAAAGAATGTATTTTCATGTATAATTCATTATACATCGGTAAAAACATTTTTTCTATTATATTCATGAATAAAATGTAGTAAACAATTAGAACAGATAAATCTGCAAAGAAAATAACTGAATGGCGTTGGCGTTTAATGAAAATAATTTGTTTTGTTAAATAAAATGCCAAAAATTTCGAAAGAGAGTTATGTGACTTTGTTTATTAAAATTAATTTCAGTGCTTTTTGTTGAACTAATTTTTAATTATTGGAATAACTTCATTAAGAGATTTTTTACCTGAAATCGGTTTAATAACAATTTTAATGAATTTAAATCGCTTTATTTTAATTTTCATTTAATGCCAAATCTCTCATTGCAAAAATAAATCTCAAAGGAGACAGCTCTTTTCTGTTAAACTGAATTTGTTGATTGAACCGAATAAGAAAAAAACTTAGTATATTTTTAACCGATAATTAAATGTTAATTAAAAAATCGGATGACTTTGAATTAAATTTCTTCTGATAGGTAACTAATAGCCATTTAATATATTTTAGTGCAAAGTTTTAAATTGTGCAATTGTAAATAATCAAAATGACTAGATGAAGTAATTTGATAAATCTTTACAAAAGACCTATTAGTTTTGAGTCTTATTTGTTCATTTTTTCGATATACAAAAATTAAATAATAAATACGATAATTGCGATGAGAAAAAATCTTTCTAATAATGAAATATATTATATGTAATTTAGAAATACACTTCTTCAACCAAATTATTTTTTCTTAGAAATAATATAAATATATTTTCGGAAGTAGTGATACAACAGTGTTGGTCTAAAACTTGTCGCAGGTATTTAGTCGCTAATATTACCAATCAATTAAGAGTGACGGTTTTTCGATCTGAAGTTACAAATATCGGCTTCGTTCAGCTTGAGGTAGGCGTCGTAGCAGTTCTGTTTTGGGAATACTTTATTCCCTATGTTTATCTCATACGAAAACTTACATTGTTGTACTGGAAAAGCTATATCATTCAATCCTAATTAAAATACTACCTTCATCATTGTTAGAATTTTGCTATTTCTATGAAAAGACCGCTACAAAACGTAACACATACATTCTAACAAATTTTTATCACACAAAATAGAATGGTACAAAAGCTAAGCCTACAATCTTGTCTTATAATTAGTGGGTACAAACAACATGGAAAGAACTGACTAACGTGACTCAATTACTGTTCTATACAGCATTTTGTTCATGGTTATTCCAAACGCTTCAACCTGTGATGACTACTACAGTATAATTACAGTTTCCTTCAGAATATCATCTAATATATTAAATATTCTTTGTGTCGATACTTTAGCTTGATTATTTTCTTTTTCTTCAAAACAATAAGTCTTTATTCATCTTTTCAATTTACTTTATTCAACATTATTTTACTTTTTCTTTCTCCGAATTGTTCTTACAAACAAAAGCAATACTATTTCTCTATTTCTTTATTTGATAGGTCTAGCATACCAATCTCTCTTCGTTTCAAGAAAATAATTGCTCTTTCGCATTGCTGATCATGTCTCTGTTTGCTGTTCTTCGCTTTAACGCACCAATCCCTTGTTTAATCGAAAGATTCCGCATTTACATTTCTATTTGTTGTAGCTGGAAATTCAAACTTTTCAGCCTAGTTGCTATGTACTTCACTTTTGTTCAATGGCACGATATTTCGTAATGTTATAAGACAACTTATATGTATACACAGGGCAACAAATATTCTGATGCAAATGTGCTCAAAAAAATAAAATTTGAATGTAATTCTTAATTTTAGTTTCAAACATCTGCAACTTTTCTACTGAATATCTCTCATCTTATAAATGTTGGATTGTTATAGGCATTGATTTGTATTGTATTTTATTAATGAGTTAAATAGAAAAATATAACATCTTCGACTAGTAATTAGAATTCATTATTACAACGAACAAATCATTCAGAATAATTCTAAAACAAGTAAAATTTTCTTATTTTCAAGAAATTGAATAAACAGTGATGCTGAATTATAAGCAATAACAATCCAAAATTTCGATTCAAATCGACGAAATGCCGATAAAGGATTTGTATAAAATTTAGTTAATGATTTAAAACGAAAATTTACATTTATGACTTGACATTAATTTTAACGTATGTTCTCGATATTCAAACTGATAATCTAAACTATTAAGTAACTTCCAAACAATATATAATGGTATGATCATTTAAATCATTGGATTTTTTACATTCTCCTTCTTTTGTTAAAAGAGATATTATCTATTAGAATATATAAATTATCTAGTTTTTTTTAAGAAACGTTTTTAGAAAAACCTCAGTTAAACATTTTCCAGCAGCAATTTATAATGCTGTTCTTTTTGTGTAAGACTCTTTTATTTCAATAACTAATTTTTGTTTCTATTCAAGTAATAAAATTTGAAGTAAACAATTGAATCTTGTTTAACAGCAACATGAAGTGGATAATAAAACATTGCCATATCTTGTGCAACACGTGAATGCATTTCACACATTTCTATTTTATGTTCATTTTCATTTGATAATGAACTAAAATAATTATCTGTAGAACTTGGTTTATGTGTTTCATTTAAAGTTTTTATATTAACTAAACATTCAACTAGACGAATATGTGCACAATAACATGACAAAGAAAGTACATTTAAAAACAAGATCTATTCAAATTTGTATTATTTATTTTAATGTTCAAAATACATTGTTTTATCTTAATTTATCAGTATTACCTCCATGTTCAATAAGTAATTGAATATAAACTAATGGATCATGAAGATCAGCATAGAAAAGTTGAGATCGATAGTTAAACATTATACCGAATTGAGAGAATTCTTCAACAGATTGATATTTATCTTCACCATCAATTAAACTATCTCATTCATTAGAATCATTGGATAATAGTTCATAAACAAATTTTTTGTACTGATTAACATCAATTTGTTTTCTTATCTCCAATACTGGTTGTAACTCGCAATAATTTCCTTCAACACATAATTCATATAATAAATTATTTCATTTTAATCACCGCGACTATACTAGCCATATTTTATTTCTTCTAAAGAGAAAAACGATGAAGAATAATTGATGTTCATTGCTTTTAACATCATCCAATCCAAAAAAATTTTCAAATGTCAATAGCTATTAATAAATGCCATCTACTTTATTAGCATCACAAGTGATTTAATAATAAAAATAACATTTTTTTCGTAGAAAAATAAAATAAATTTAAATATGAATCATTCATTTTTGCTTTCGTCTGTTTTTAATCATCGTCATTAATCAGAAAAAAATCTTGTCGTGAAAAGAAAAATAAATCAAAATGTTTTTTAAAAGCATGTGGAGAAAAAAAAAGAAAAAAAAGGTAATCATCGACTATCGTCCTCTTTTTCTCAATATCAAAGCAGATTCCGTTATTCATATTATTAGAAACATATGTTTCTCAATGCAATCTATTCACTTTGGATTACTAAAAGAATGTTTAGTGTTAAATAAAGAATATATATCTAATAATCGAAACCATTGACGATCGCAATAAGGTTTTTTATTGTACTGATCAGTTTCACTTATGTATTGTAAAAATGCATCAGAATGGCGTTCAAGATCTTTTTATCAAATGCTCACTGATCGATTTTGCCCAGCAGATTCTTTTCTGTTCCATTTATGGAACAAAAAGTCTGAAAATGCTTATCGAA